TTGCATTATTATGAAATAATGCCTGGAGCATTATTTTGAGATACATAATCCAAAGAGAATTTTACTTAAAAAGCTTTAGCTCTCTTTAAATTGTGTGTCTTGAAATAATGCTTTGAGATGTTATTTTGCACCAATATAGTAATATTTTTAATATAAAAAGCTAGGTCAGTAGAAATTAAGCAAATTTATTAGATAAATTTGCTTGATTTCTACTGACTCAATTTTTTTTAATTGCTGATCTTTCAGTTTCCTGATATAGACTGATTAAATTAGATATTATTTACTATACATGACACAAAAATTGAATTATCTCCAAATTGGGATTTTACTGATTTGCTTGATTTCTACTGACTTACTCCCATATATCGATTTATTACTATATATTGATTTATATCTTTTTAAAAAAATTTTTAATAATATCTTCATTAATATAATGCTCCTTTTATGATCTACTATTAGAGAAAATACATAAAGACAAAGACTTAAATTATACAATAAAGCAGCAAATTAAAAAAGGCATGCAATGCAACAATAACACAAAGTATTACCAAGTTTCATTGCATATACAGATGATACAACATGGATAACAAATAGTAAAGAACAGCTAATAAAAATTTTAAAGATAGCAGAGAAATTCTTTGTGATGAATGATATAGAAATAAATAGATCTAAATCAAAACTGCTAATAATAAATACAAAAATAAAGAAAAAAGAAAGAGAAGTAATCTTTGAAAAAAGCAAGATAATGAAAGAAACAAAGAACAAGATAGTTTGCTTATTAGAAATATGACTAAATAATAGAATAAATGAAGTGTTAGTAAAGAAGAAAGTTAAAGTAATAATTAATTAAACAATAAAAGACCTTAGATATAAGAAAATGACAATGAGTCAAATTACGCATATAAACAATATAGTAATAATATTAAAATTAAATTATATGCTACAATTAACAAAAATATCAAAAAGAAGTATAGTAACTAATAATAAGTCTGATAAAACAAAAGAGCAGTCTGCAAAGAATATTAAAAAACTATATAATAAAATATAAAGATATTGAAAGCTATAGAACGTTACAATAAGAATTATTGATGAAACAAATAAGTGGTCTATTAGTAAGACTAAACAGATCAGATAGTCTCAGATAATTAATAAAATTAAGGATAATACAAGGCTGTTAGAAAGCAGGCTTAACAAAATATATATAAAAAATAGAAGAAATGCCAGAAAACATAGAAGGTTAAAAAAGTAACTTAGCTTGTCTAATATTATTAAAAGCAAGAAAACTTAATATAAATATAAGAGCAGAAGATATTTTATAAACAATGCTTGGATATAAAACCAAAATAAAAGAACTTATAGATATGTGATTATGGAAAAGAAGCAGAACTAAAATAAATAAAGCAAATCTAATATATTTAAATCAGCTACTTAATACAAGAGAAGAGAAATTAATTATATAACAATAGCTAAAAACTTATTAAGATTTATCAAATAAAGAAAAAAAAGCAGAGTGGTTTAAAGTGATAAAACTAAAAGTGTTTATTAAAACAAAAAGCAAAAAAATTAAAAGACATTTTAGAACAAACAGACAAAATTCTTAAGCAATGCAAATTAGATAAGAGTATATTTTAAAAAGAAAGAATAGATAATGTATAGTATACAAAATTATCAATAGCTAGGAAAGATAGTTAAAAAAAATAAAATAAAATATTAGTAGAACATTGGCAAATGCAAAATAAAAAAAATGAACTAGCTGTCAAAATTAATAGGTATAGAGGTTGTATAAGAAAAGAAGAATATTTAGAAGATAGCTGTCAGCAGTAAATAAGAATAAACAACAAAACCAATATAATTCCAAACATATTAATAGAATAAGACAGCAACAAGATTAAGATACCAATAAACTAAATAGTAAAAATAATAAAAACAAATAAACTAGAAATTAGAGAACAGAAACTTAAGTGATTAAAACAATAAAAGAGCTAGAAGTAAAAATAATCAGACAACAAAATCTAAAAGTTAAGAAATAATAAAAATTTTAAAAAGAAATATAATGAGAAACAAGAACAAGTATATAATATATACAGATGAAACAGTAAACTTGAAAACCAAAGAAAATACAAAAATTAAAAATAGTATAAGTATAGAATAGATGCAAACAGATGAAACACAAGAATGGTTAAAAAAGAAGATAGCACTTGGTTTATAAGAATGACCAACATCAATAATAACAAAGTTAGTAGTAATATGGGCAGCAATTTTAACAGTACCAAAGAAAAAGTAAATAGAAATATATACAGATAATAATGCTGCAATAAGAAACATTAGTAAAGACTTAGAACAAATAGATAGAAATAAGATTCTTAAGAAAAAGAATACAATATAAATAATAAAAATTAAAGATCTTATTATAACAAAAAACATTCAGATAGAGTTTTTTAAAATCAAAAGTCATAGTAAGGACAAATAGAATGATAAAGCTGATAGCTTAGTGAAAAAAGATACAATAAGTGGAAAAATAATATAAGTTGAAGAAGTCAGTTGTGAAGAAATAGAATACTGCTTAGAGTAAAAAAACAAATGTACTGACATATCAGCAAAACTACTTTGTAAACTAATAATGAATACAAGATTAGAAGCAGAATAGAAAAACAAAAACAATTAAAGAACTAGAATCAGAATCAGAAGTTATGATTTATAATTAAACATAGTTTTGAAAAAGACTAAAGATAACTAAAGAGTATACTATATAACAAGAAGAAATAGTATCAGAAAAAGTGTATTTATAAGTGTATAATAGATAAACTTCTAATATCAGAAGAATTTAACAAAAAAGACCAGATATATAAACAATAATAGAATACCAAATGTGTCAAGATAAATTAAAAAAAATACAGACATACTTAGTAACATATAAGAAACAAAAGAATCTCTAGAAAAGAATCCAGAAAGTGACTATTGCAATAGTCTAGAAAGGACTAAAAGAAGAAAAAAAAATTTAGGTTTCTTTATATATGTTATATATAACACTCTTTAAAAAAACAAAAGCAGAAAAAATAAGAATAAGAGAGACATTAATTAAAGGTCTTATTCTAAAAAAAATACAGAACAGACTAAGACAGTTCCTAAGTACAAGATTAAGGCAGTAGTTTATGAATGTAGTAGTAAGAACAGTCTAAGATACATTCTATAAACAAATATGAAGAATTTGATATAAGAAGATTAACAAATAAAAGAAAAATGAAGAAATAATAGATAGAATAAAAAGAAAAAAAAAAAAGAGTGAAAAGTGCCAAGTAAAAAAAAAAACCAAATCAGCAAAAAATAGAAAAAAAAAAACAAAAAAAAATAAAAAATAAATTAAAAAAGAAGTACAGAAAATATTTTTAAAGTTTGTCATAGAAAAGAGAAGACCCTTTCATTATGAACTTTAAGTAATTAGACAAGTAGCTTACTTTTGATTAAAGTAATGTGCCAGGTTACACTTAGGTACCATTAGGATGGCTAGATGATGCTGAACTTAGACATTAAGGATATTTATATAATTACAAATGTAATTCCAAAATCTTAATAAAGTACTAGTATAACACCTTAAAGTGAAAAAAAAACAAAATTTCGAAGTATTGTATTATTTTAAAAAATATACTTGTATAAATAATAAAGATTACTTAAGTAAGTTAAAATTTTCTTAAGTAGTACAAAAATATAGAATTTGATTTGTTAATTTACATAAACCTATAAGTTAATTTTATTATATAATTTTATATCCTAGTCTTTAAATTTTCATATCTCAATAAGTTTTTGATCAATTTTAATAATTTTACTATTATTAGAATTAGAAAAACCTATTCTACAACTTTTACTTAATTATTAAAATTAATTTACTTAATATAATTTTTTATAAAATTAAATATAAAAAAAAATTACTATTAGGTTTATATATAATTTTAAAGTACTGTCTCCTACCCTTGAAAAATTAATTGTTGTTATAAATCTTATAAAAAAATGCAAACTTTAAAGAATTATATAGCAAAATTTTATTAAAATAACAGTATTTGTTTCTTAAATAAAAATTTTTCTTAAGCTAATTCTGTATTAGTTAAACTTATTAATTTGGTTCTTTTTTGCAACACCTAATCCATATGTTTAAAACCATTAACAGCCAATCATTCTATAATCATATGATAAAAATTGTATCCAAAAAATTTCAAAATTTGAAAAAATTACATATTAAAAAATTTTTTTCGAAAAATTTTCGTGTCTCTGATACTGCGATCTCGATCGTTGGTCACGTGAACGAGAAATTTTTGTGCCATGACTAATCTACCTCTATAATAGCATCAACCTTCCGTAAATCCAAGCCATTATAGTCAATGATCTGTTACAGATTAAATTGGTTTTTATGTCAAGTTAAACTTGACCCAGGTTAAATTAATCAATTTAAAACCCCGGCCCGCACTAACCCTAAAATTCTGTTAGGGGCCATTTTGACCTGGGTCAAGTAAACCAAAGTTGACCTGTAGTATATGTAGTAAATTATAAATATAGACAGACCGGAAGCGAAGCGACAGGTAACACCCAGTAAGCTTTAAAAAAATACTATACTGTACAATAAAAATGCCAATTCAATTAAATATAAACCAATACAGTTTATTATTGTTTTATCACAAGCATACATATAAAGTTTTATCGGTAGTTTTATCAGTTTATATTATGGTAATTTTACGGGTTAATCGAAAGGCTTAAAAATATAAATAGTATAAACCTTATCATGTAGCTAGTTTATATTTTTATCAGGCTTTGTCAAGAGTATTGTCGACATCGCTAAAATGTACAAAGAAAATGGATCATAATTGGTCAATAAAGTTTAAGGATTATGTTTAGTACTAGGATTGTCCATTAAAATACTAGTTATCGCTTACAAATACTTATAAGGAAATAAATCTTGATTAGAGTTTAATACTCTATCAAAGTTCCAGAGCAACATGGAAAGAAATTTTTTATTCACGATTTGTAGATTCAACCCTAACCAGGCCCAATGTACCACCTGACGCGATCCATGTACCTGCATTAAAATTTGGATTCCATGCTATCTATAAAATGGGATGGAACATTAACTTCGACTTAATACCCTAAAAAATCATATGATAGAATAAACTCACACGTTGAATAGACACTTCCGGCTTAAAAAAGTGACTAAAAGTTTTAGAGGTATGGTATGTAGCGGTTGTTTCCTATAGTTATAGTGTACGTATAAACGAATATGAACAAATACATAAACTAAACAAGCTCGATGAGATTACCTGGGATTTAATATTGTCCCAAAACAAAACAGTTTTTTGATCTTCATCTAACCCGATACGGTATAAGGTCACCTGTATCGGTTTCTGCGAAGATATAAAATATGCAAATTAATGAATAAGCTATTATAATTTCAGTAAATATATTGAATCATACCAACCTGATGCCTATCTCTTAATCGGCAAATATTTGCCATTTTCACTGTACCATCTGCTGAACAACTCGCCATAAATGGGTGAAAATAAGATGCTGCTATTCTCTATTTGAAATAAACAACATACATGTCTAATAATGAATGTGATTTAATCAATTACAAAGAATTGACTTACAAAAACAGTAGCATGATGCATGATTAGTCCAGTTGTCTTTTTTAGATCGTCCATACGAATATATCTTATTGTGTTATCAGCATCTGCAAAGGCGATTCCACCATAGTGGCATGGCCAACACGCAGTCATCATGAATGCTGTAATGAATCCAATTTTAAATTATATTATTTAAAAACTTCGGCAATTAAAGTTTTAATGAAATATGGATAATTAATTACAAACCCCTGATTCGCTGAATCATGTTTTTAAACCACGGTTCACGTTCATTAAAAATAAGTAATCTACCATCGTGCCCACAACTCAGAGTATGACTGGGGTTTTCCATAGAATTCCATGTTATTTGACGGATACACGAATCGTGGGCTCGGAAATATCGAGTCGGGACAACTTTGTTATTAAAAAAAAAAAAAGGTTAATGATCAAGATACAATCATATGTGAATGAAAATACTAAATTATTTTGACAAACCTTCTGAGTCACTAAAGGTCCCATTTGTGATGTTATATGTCAAAATGTCTTCAATATCCCATATTGCAATATCACCTACAATAGGTACCAAATTTAAAGATAAGGACAATTACATTAAGTAAATAAATCGCTAAATTAAAGAAAACAACCATTGGTGCACCCAGTGGCTATTTTTTTGTGACCGCCCCAACTAACAGTCCAACAAAGAACTTGAGGTAATGAGAGAATCAACAATGGTTTTAAAAATTTCACTATGTATAAATAATAAATACTAGTAAATATCTACAGCGCATATGAAATTGACTCGAAAAACCAAATTTTGGATCTACCGAATAGTGGTTTGTTTGAATCTTGAGATAAGCCCAATTTGTTTCGAACATAATCTGGTTGAGGAATGGCAAATATTCCAATAGAACCGTCACTGAACGATGCAGCAATAATTCCTAATTTGGGGATGAAATGTTCAGATTGACTCTCAAATGCATTCTATAAAATAGATACGCATTATTAGCATCATAATACATGTGACCAATGCTTATAATTACAATTTTTACCATGCCATTGTCATAAGCCCCATAAGGACACCATTGTAAATCAAAAGTACATCCAAATTCATGGCAAATAACTATGTCCAACTTTGGATCTTCTACTGAAGTGGGATCATCTTGGCAATCAATTTTCCAAATCTGTATCGCATAATTCACATCGTTTTTTTGACGCCGGGCAATATGATGATGTTCTTCAGTAGTTGATTTATAACCAGCAATAGCCAAATACTGCCCGCCTTTATATAAATAATTAGTCATAAATGCAAGACAAATAAAAATCGCATTAAGTTATAATAAGTTAGTATATTTACGTTGAGCTTGTATGTTGGGGCACCAATCCATTGCCCAAACGGATCCACCAATATTGATAATATGACCTACTTTGCGAGGCAGTTTATCGTCTGATGTGTGTACGCATATAGTATGTGTGAAGAAATAGGAATAAATAGGAATAAATAGGTCGAATTGATAAGAAAAATAATACATAATAAGACATACTCAATGGACATGATTCAAATTGAGAAACTCGAATTGGATCAGAATTTGTCAATACGATAGAAAATGGGTCTTGTAAATGCGGGAGATAAGTTCTTCCTATGCTAATTTTATACAAGTAAATGAGCGAATGAAAACATTTAAATAACAAAGGACCCAATATACATACCTTTCATCTAGTATTTCTAAATCATCTGATTTTATTTTGACAAATTCATATGCATTTTGTGGCAATGATTCAAAATTAATGCCGACAGATTGTAATAATCGCTTTTTGGGTCCAAGCACAACATCCTCCCACTCATCATTAAAAACTTCACCAATATCACCACGGTTTGGGTTAGCATGTTTCTTTCGTTTCGACAGACTCCGATTTGTAGTGAGTGTCTGATCTAAAGATGTAGACATTTCTAATCACATACTAAAACTATTACGTAAGTTATGTACTACCTAGTTCATCGCTTGATTGGTCAGATTTGTGTCGATCCTGCACATGATCGAAGTAACCCGATTGGCTAATTAATATACTAGGAAATCAGGCTTCACCCGGTGTGCAACATATAAAAAAATTATTTTAAAATACCAGACCATTCCGCTAGTACATGTTATGATTATAATCCCACACCAATTTATTATAATAAAAATGGTGTGGGATTATAATCATAACATGTACTAGCGGTATTTTAAAATAATTTTTTATATGTTGCACACCGGGTGAAGGCATCACGGAACCCGAATTTCATTGGTTGTTTCCGCCGAACATTGTATACAGCAGAGACAGTGTCCGATCCAAAGTGAATCCCTCTCACCTGTGATCAATCACGAATTAAATTATTTATATTGGATGGATATAATCCCTCACCAGTTTTAATATACGTGTAACATTAACGGTCTATGCTGTAAACATTGTATAGACGACATTCATATAAGTACCGCCAAGGAAAAATAGTACTTCTAAATGTTACACGATAATCTTTACATATTAGATCTAAGTGGTAAGAATATTGCGCAGTTATTTTTCTTTTAGCTAACTTCTGAATTATTTGTTTGTTTTTCAAATTATTTTAACGCTATATAGAATGAAAGCTATACTACTGAATTTTTTTTATTACAATAGTTAGCAATTTAATTTTATAGCAAACAATTAGTTTAAAGTTATTTTTTCAAACTTAATATAATATTCTAGTCTGTGTTTCACTCATATGTTTTATTTATTCTTATTTCTTTTTTTTTTTTTTGGTATTAAGGTGACCTCTTGGGTCTTTTGACTTTATTTAATAATAGTAAATATAGTTTAGTGAACCATTACAGAAAGAGCATACAATTGGTTACATGTGTAATTTTTCTATATTATCTATTTAAGAAGTCTACTTAAATGTTTTTTACTAATTGTTATACCTAACATTTCTGCTTAGGTATTTCACTTTAAACCTTTTGAACTTGCAAACCTATTAACTTTACTGGGTTATATCTGATGTTCAGATCATCATTTCAATTTTAGAACTATTTTATTCTTGAAGTAAACTTCCAAAATAGAGATTGAAATTAGTTTAGTCAACTAAAAATTTTATATAATAAACTACTATGTTTAGTTGATTAATTAGTCAACTAAACATAGTAGTTGATTAAACTAATTTCTATCTCTACTTCAAAGTCTTCTATATTCATTTTTATAGTTGATTTAAGTATCATTATGATAAAACCAATACTTGCAATTAGGACTTAACCATTAAATTATTATGTTTTTGTAGAGTTTACTTAGATTCTAGCATCTACTTCACAATATAATCTCTGTATTTTAGTATATTTCTGTCTTTTATCTGTTTTTTTACCAACCTTCTAATTTAGATAGTTTGTATAGAACTATAACTAGTTTATTAGTATATTAGATTAGTCTGATATTCTTTTTCTTTAATTTGTTCTAATAGCTTAGTTAATGATATCTTTAAGACTCTTAACTCAAAGGTTCTTGTCTATTTAGCTACTATGATCAGATACCTTGATATTTGTTTTTTCAGACTAGTTTTTATAGTAGGGTTGTTAAAAATTCAGTTAACTTATTATTTAGATCTTTTCAAATAGACTTTTTGTTAATCAATTTTAACAGATTTATATAGTTACAAGGACTTATCTAGTGTTTGCATTATCCAATTTGTCAGTTTGCATTTTTCTGTATAACTTCAACATTGTACAGATGTTCTATAACCTACTAATCATGCTAGTATGATCACTATTATAGGTATTCTAACCTAATCATTAGTAACAGTTATTATAATATAAATATTATATAGATGATTATTTAAATTTTTACTATCAATAGGATTTGAACACTTAACCTACCACTTGAAAGTTGACAACCTAACCATTTCACTAGGTTGTCATATCTCATTTACTTTTGTTTCTTTTAGGCTTCTAATCTAACTATATTTAATAATATTTTGTTATTTATATTTTTTATTATTATTTATTTTTTTATTTTTTTTTGTTATTGTATATATTAATTTTAAATTAATCTTATTTAAAAGATATAGTAACTTAGTAAAATGAATAAGTTGTTAACTTTTCAAATAATAGGTTTTAAGTTCAAAACCTATCAAAGATGAAATTTGAAAAAATATATCTGTATTATAACAATAGTATTTTGTCAATCAGTTAAAATAAGATACTGTTAACATTAAGAGTTTTACACATTTTTGACC